ATATATAGAGATACCGATACCGATACCAATATTGATGCCCATATCCGATATATAGAGATACCGATACCGATACCGATACCAATACTGATGCCCATATCAATCCAATACCTTCTTTTCTCCTCCAGCATGCAGCGGACATCTTTTATTTTAGCCTAATTTAGCGATTCTGAATCCTTTTTGTGTTGGTTAACAATTTTTTCATCCAGTGTTTTCATAAAAAGGCTTTAATCAAAACAAACAACTGAGCAGAGCGAACAAATCATATAAATAAAGTCAACATTATCACAATAAGTATTTGGCGCAGGTTGGCATTCAGGAAAAAAAAAAACGGAGGGAAAAGGGCTAGAGAACTTAGCATGAGCTAAGTAGCCAGTACTATAGAGGCGTCTTTTTTCTTGTGGCAATTTCAACTGCAAAGTCAGGGCTCAAAAGTGAAAGAAATGGGCTATTCTTAGCCGATAAGCACCTAACAGTTATTTCAACGGACAGTTTTTCTTTTCAAATTCAAATAGAAACAATTAAAAGTAAAATTGAAGTAAATTGTACTAAGTGATGTTGCTTGTCTGTTTGTTTCGTCTCACAGGACACCAGGCTGTCCCTGATCGCCACAGACCAGAATTACAGACAGAATTTCACTGCCGCAGATGACACCAGGTCCACTAAGATGGGAACCATCAGAACCATCATTGACATCATTGTATGTAGTATCCTCATCTCCTCTCTTCTCCTCTCTGTTCTCTCATCTGCTCTCCTTTGGTTTCCTGTGAGTGTGAGTGGCCGTGGTGTTCTTTCGGATTTTGTATGCGCCGTCAGATTTGTACGTGGGTCAGTGAAACTGATAGCAATCAAGCTATGGGTATAGGAGTATACGCCAGAGGTGTCAAACACACTTGGTTCAGACATTCCGGCATGTCAGGAAGCAAGGGAGACTCTCTATAGTCTGTGCCTGTGACTTTGATCTTCTTACTGTTTCTGATTATGCAGATGATCTATCTATCTATCTATCTATCTATCTATCTATCTATCTATCTATCTATCTATTTATCATCTATCTATCTATCTATCTATCTATCTATCTATCTATCTATCTATCTATCTATCTATCTAAATCTAAAAACAATAACAATTCTTACATACATTACATAATTATGCTAATATCGGGCCTAGCATCCCTAGCTAAGACTGATGCTTTGTCAGTAGGAGGGTGAAGGGGTAAGATAATACCTGGCATGCCTGTTGGACTTTAGTGACGAGGTGAGGGTTTGAAAGTCTTAGGAGTTTTCTTAGAAACTGAAGCCTTTGAGGGGGAGGGAGGGAGGGAACGAAGGAAAAACTGTGCAGTAGGCTGTCTAGAAGGAAATGGTTGCTACCTTAGCTGTCATTGAGTCAGTAATTTGGTTGACCTGACTCTCTGGCACTACCAGGAGCCCTGGCAGAAGACCTTCAAATATACTATACTGGACTTTTTCTAGTATGGGAAGCACTGGCACCAGGTGGCAACCCTCTACCTGCCGGTGGCTGAAGGTTGCCAGGGGCTTATCAAAATTCCAATCAAAAAATAGCCTCCTACAGATTATGATGAACTGTTCAAAGACTTCTTTATGAGTTTCACTCTGGATGGCATGATGCAGTCAAACTCCTGCCGAGGAAAAGACTGGGCTTAGACAAGCAACTTTCTCTTTTATACTTTGCACATACAAACCTTACTGGACTTTCTGCAGTTCTGTTCTTTGCAGATCTTTGGTCTGAACCTACACCTCTGGCAGGGATGAAAGAGTTGAGGTGGGCTGAGTTCTTTCGCCCAACCTCTTTCATGAAAGGTAGTAGGCGATCCCAGTACAATGAACAGTAGACCTCCAGTAGAGGATAGTGCATGGGGGGGATAGCTATAAACAGCTACATGGCATACATTGATCCGTAGCTGGTGGAGACTTGTATTTTTCAAGGTTCCAACGTTCAAGGTTTAAGGTTCAAGGTCAATGAGTGTCCTTGATTGGAAGCACAGAAAAGTGTATTTTTCAAGGTTCCAACGTTCAAGATTTAAGGTTCAAGGTCAAATCAAGGACACCAATCAGTGTCCTTGATTGGAAGCACAGAAAATATGGTTTCAAGGTCTAGGGGGATGTTTTAACTCCTAGCTTGTTCATGTTTGGTCCCTAACCCTTAGCTATCTGGTTGTAGGTATGCAGTCAGGTTAACGGTAGTGTGCAGGTGCTGACGGTCTTTGAAGGACTTCTGCAGACCTTTTCACCTGATATGGGCTGTTAGAGGAGCGTAAGTTCTGTGGTAGTAGATAAGGAACCATTTGTCAATTTTTGTTTTTTTTGAGTTTGTGTGACCTGTTTTTATGTTGAGTTGTGAGTTATTGTGTGAGTTATGTTTTGTTTTCTTGATTTTCTCTTTTTCCTCTCCTCTCTTCTCTTCTCTTCTCTTCTCTTCTCTTCTCTTCTCTTTTCCCTTTAAATATTAACCTATTGTTTTTTTTCTTTTGTTTCCAGACAAATGAGACAAAGGATGTGGTATGCTATTTTAAACATCTTCATTCAATAGATAAATATGTGTAACGTACATTGTTTTTTTTAAATAAAAGTCAAAATATATTACCATCATTACATATTCACACATCAAGAAATGTGCACACCTAACCAGTTTTTCCTTTTTTTTTTGTTTTTAGTGTTGCTCCTTTGACTGCAATGTAAGTATAAACCTCCAAAAAAAAAAAAAAAAAGAAAATACCCAATTGAAACATATTTTGGATTTTAATTCTTATAATTGTTTTGCTCAAAGGCTGCAGGTGGGCCAAAAGGACCGGATGGAGACAGTGGTGGAAAGGTGATGGATAACATGTAGTGCCCCCATCATTTTCACTGTTACACTGGAAAACAAACAGACAAACAAAAACTAAAACACACTGTGTTTTTTCAATCCTT